TATGACACAGGTTACAGGTATCTAATCCTAACTAATTATAGAAGACAGTTAACTATAATACAGAAAGAATTGCAAATTTTTACTATCACTAGAATTTGAACTTTAGACCTGCCACTTGGGAGTTAACAACCTATTCACTTTACTAGGTTGCTATATTCCTAATATAGCTTTTTTTAAAAAAAAACAAATAATAAAAATTATTAAAAAATTAGTCAATTTTATACTATAATATTTTTTAATATCATTTATAAATTATTTTTAAAATTTTATAAAAAAAATTCTTTAATACTAAAAAATATTTAAATTTAGATTCAAAAATTAAACTAATAGTTTTTTCTTACAAAATAAGTTAAAAAAATAAAATTTACCTAAATTATATATAAAATTTAAATATATTAATTATTTAACTTATAATTAGAAATTTTATATACAAATTTAAATAACAAATTCTATAATTATTATTATTTATTAATTAATATTAATAGTTTATTATTATTTTTTTGCTTTTACTAAAATTATTATTATTAGTAACTACTGTCTTTATTATGTTTTAATTATGATTATATAATTTATATAAAATAAATATGCAATTAGTTATACATACAATTTTTAATTATTTATTTAAGTAGTTTACTTATAGGTTCTATACTAATTGTTATACTTGTAATTTGCTAAGAAATTATCTAATTAAACACTTTGATTTTTATACTATATCTGATAGATAGTACACAAGTTTTTATATATCTAAGTGCTATTTAACCTAACATTTAATCTTTTTTTTGTATATTTGTTAAGCTGTTACATATTTTAGAGTATATTACTTAACTGTAAGCTTCTAAAAGGTTCTTTTATTAACTAGTCTACTTACTTTTTATAGAATATTAACAGAGCTTGCTCTTGCAAAGTTCACTTAGACCTTAATATTAACTTTATAATATATTTTTAATATTTATAATATATTTTTACTTTATTATTTAATTTTTAATTCAGATAGTCTAGTAGAACTATAATCTGTTTTTAATATATTAAATTTAGCCTAATATTCTTTTTTTTAATTTAAGATTTTTAATAACCTGGTTAATAGTATTCTTTATTTGAAGGTTTTTGTTTATTTAATTTTTTTATATTAATATCTGTTTTTTAGATTTAATCTTTATAGTATTATTAAAAATCAGTGTTATCTTTCTACTTAGGTCTTCCTAAATAGGCTTCAGTTTTACTAGTTTTATAAATTATATAATCATAAAAATTTATTTTAGATTTGTATTGCCTAGTACTAGTTTGTATTTTTTTGTATGATTAAGATTATACAAATGTCTCTTGACTTATTAGTTATGTTAATGCAATTGTAGTTACAGGTATTTTATCTCAACTGATTAACAAAATACTGTTGTTATAATACAAGATGTATTTTTTTAAATTTTGTCTTTGATGAGTTTTGAACTTACAATCTGTTACTTAAAAAGTTAATAACTTATCTATTTCATTAAGTTATTATACTCCTAATAGTTTATTACTATTACTAGAAAACAGAAACCGTTATAAGTCCGGAGCGAAATCACATGAGAGTTGTTGTGTTACACGAATATGCAAGTGAGACAGACGGAAAATTCAAAGTTACGTTTTTGATATTTTTATTATTAATGCATCAATAATGAAACTTTATGTGCATCAAAAACGTAACTTTTGTATCACTTTGCATAGAAATTGAGCGTCCTCCGCTACGCTCCGGACAATTAATCAAATTATAGAATAATTTTTATATAATTAATTGTTTAAATCAATTTAATTTTATATTACTATACAGTTTAAAGTATTTTTTAAAAAACCAAAACTTATAAAAAATAAATAAAAAAATATATATAAAGTTTTATTTAAAATGTAAAACTTTATTATTAAAAATAATATTTTTTATTTTAAAAATTTTGTTAATAACTTTTATTAAAATTTTTGTAAATTAATACTTTTAACTTAAGATTATAATTTAATATTTTCTAATTACTTTTATAAGTATACAAAAACAGTCTGTATATTAATTAAAAACTAAATCTAAAAACTATATATAGCTAGTCTAAAAGGTCAAATAAAAATAATTTTAATTTATTATATACAAAATTTCTAATTACTTTTATAAGCATACAAAGACAGTTTGTTATACTAATTAAAAACTAAATCCAAAAATTATATCTAGCTAGTCTAAAAAATCAAATAAGAATAATTTTAATTTATTATATACAAAATTTTTTATTAAATTCAACTATAACTTTTTTTATTTCTATGCTATTTTTCTTTTATTTTTTTTATTATTTTCTTCTTTAAATTAATTCTGTCTTAAAATTTAAATTCTTTTTTAAATTAAAATCTTTTTTGTTAATATTTAAACTTGTAATATTTTTTTAAGTCATATATTAATACCTTTTATTAAAAATAATTAAAAATTCTTTTTGTTTTAATGTAGTATTATAATTTCTTAAAAATAAATTGGACCAGATTATTATTACACTAACTTCTCTAAAGCAAAAAAAAATTTAATTATTATTAATAATAAATTTTTATAATACTAGTAATGTTTTCTATATACATTTTTTTCTATTTAAGTAGTTATATTTTTTTTAAAAAGTATTTTAAATTCCATAAATAATGTAAAATTAAATTGACGTAAACAACTAATCATATGAAAGTCGTCCTATGATCAATAAAGTGATTCCTTGGCAAATTTCTTATTAAAAATGATCGACCAATCAGATCATGTGAAAAGTTTTAAATATCTGAAAATTGAATAATAATCAAACCTCTTTATAGTCACCTTCTCTCCAGTTTTTAAAACCAACTTATATAAAACATATAAAATTTAACCTTTATATAAGCACAACTCATCTATAGGCACAAAAATTCTTAGAACCAAGGGCGTGATTATAAAAATCTTGAATAAAAGCAAAATAGAGGGTTGAGTAAGCGCAGTGGCATGAACAATGGCTTACTAGTCTGTCGTGCCTAAACTACGAAATAAGAAACCAGTTTTAGTGCTCTAACAAAAAGTTTTCTTGAGCGATTTTGCTATATAATCAACCAATCTCTAATCTTATCCTAAACATTAACCTTAACATTAACGAACTTCAAAGAATTTTTTCCGCGCCACAAACCTGGCACACATTCAAGATGTGCGTCATGCATTTAAGGTTGCTAGCCAAGCCACATAGATGGTACTGGTCCACAGGTAACTTGTGATGCTAAAGGTTGCTAACTGATCCATAAGGGCGCAGATTGCTTGCTAGATAGATTAATGTTCTGATAATAAAAATATTTGTTGAAATTATTTCCAAATTTTCATCCAATAGTGTTCATATAAAAACAAGAATAGGAAAAGATAGGAAAAGAGGCGCATACTGAAGCACGTATATCTACCGATTAATGAGGACCTGAATGAGACTATAATAACTGGAGAAACAATTGCAAGTATAAACCAAAAAGAAGATCAGAATGAGGTAACGAATACGTGTCTTTGTTATAAAATTACAAGAAAAGAACCAATCATGTATTTTAATATTTATGATGATAGTGAAGAAAAGTTAGTTAAACGGAAAAAGAACGATGATTATTTTTCTTCTGTATGTGAAACACAACATGATCAAGCCCAATAACCATGTGATAAAAATAATGAGGAAACAATTATATAACACTGGAACATCTTCTGGCTGAGGCATTAAATACTATCAATATATATAAAGAAATTAAATGAACGTACTGTACAGCCCTAATGGTTTAATATTTTGGAACAAATTTTGCAAAAATTAATATTATAGCTCTAACAAAAATACAAAGCTGCTACTTTTAAAATGAAAATTTTAAAAAGTGAAAGAATTAAATACGTATCTTTTTAGATAGGAATTGTTATAGTAAGTTACCCTGATAATCCGGATAATTTAACAGTACCCAGGTATAGATTTTCTAAACAGGTACAAACTCTATTACGTAAATTGTAGAGATATAATATTGGCCTTTATAAAATCTATTCTAAAACGAAAATATTAAACCGTTAAGATGTAACGATAGGATAAATCTATTCGTCACTGGCGGTTACAGTCACCAAGCCAATCGGATTGCATAATTTAAAACCTTCAAAAATTTCAAACCATGATTCGATATCTCTACCTATGAAACCAATCTCGTATCTCGACCAAAAAATTTTTGTGCAAAATTTATTATATATTAAAATCCGGTTTCTGTCACCACCGATTACATACGTATAATTTTGATTTATATAGTACATATCGCACACCACACCATAGAATTTGATTATTGTTGCAACAGAATTTTGTTTTTGTAAGCACAGATCATTGGTTTCGGTTGACAACTTATCACCACCGAAAAACCAATGTTCTTGGTACGAGCACGAAAAAATTTGACAATTCTGAACATGTGATTAACACATTTTCTATTAATTGTTTCCATACTATATCCTAAAGCGGTAAATAACATTAAGCCCCTTTGATAGTCGACCAAAAAAGCTTTAATTCTAAGCCACACCTATCAAAATGTATATTCTTTGTACTAAATATTGATCCAAGTCATCGCGATGATTTGATGGGAATTATCTGTGCAAAGGTGAATACGTGCTTCTCGTATTTACTTTTGTTTTCAGATAACAAAAAGCCAAGTATGACTCCTTCATACAACAATTTTAGCATTTAACCTGCTCGGGTACCGTGAAAACGGCTTAGTGATAGAAAATGTATTTTTTAGGAAGGTCAATGAAACATTGACATTCTGAACTTATCGAAAAAAAATAAAATGTTTTATTATAATCTGTAGTTATCATTCATAGTTTCTTTTTTTATATTGTCCTCCTAACGATTCTCGACTCGTAATAATTGTAATATAATTAAAATTATTTTACGCTCGTGTATATGTTAAAATTCGTCATGGCATCAATCCAATCCAGGGGATTCCCCCGTATACGATTAATTAAATTTGCAATTATAATTAGTATATTAACAATAATGTCAAATATAACTGAAGGTGTACTTTCGATGTTCTTCGGTCAGCAGACAAAATCAGTTAGCCTAATAATTTTTGGCATTGCCTCCTTTGTTGAGACAGCATCCTCAATATTAGTCCTATGGCGTTTCGTTATGGAGATTCGACAGAATATTGTCAAAGTTTCCGTTTCCACTATCTCTGCTACCTCTACCTCTTCTGCTTCTACTTCTTTCTCACATTTAGAAAAGGAACAAAAGTTAATTGAATATGAAAGAAAAGGAACGTTAGGAATTGGTAGTTTATTTATAATATTAGCCTTTGGGACATTATCGCATTCCATCATTACGTTGACACAGAAAACTCATCCTGAAAACACGACAGCGGGTTTAGTAATTTCCAGCATATCAATAATACTCATGTCAGTGGTATATACTTGTAAGAGATACTTAGCTATAAAGTTAAACTCTTCAACAATGTTATATGACGCTCAATGCTCATTGGCTTGTATTAAAATTACCGCAGTGCTTTTTTGTAGTAGTTTGATTTATTTGATTTGGACAACATTGTGGTGGACTGATTCTGCAGCAGCTTTAATATTTGGTATTTTTTTTGCTAAAGAAGGTATTGAGATGATCACTCAGGCCAAAGACAAGAATTTTAACGGTGGATATAGTAGTTCAATAGATACCAATAGCGAAATACAAGGCGAAAATTGTAAACCTGATGAAAGGAACGAGACTAGCACTACTAATGAGAAAGGGCGACATTTACGAGTTTCCGCAAATGATGATGATGAACAGGTTGAAGAGTCCGCAATTATTGGAGCTTGGTGGAGAGAAAATGGCACAGATATCGAATTGGAAAATATGGCATTAAAAAGTATCAAAAATGAAACTGAAACTTCATTTCCTATTGCTATCGTAGCTCATTAGTATTCTGTTACTTTTATACGAACAAGCATAATCGGTTGCATACAGTGTTTATTATATAACGAGTTGTGCATACTTGTATATTCCAACTCTCCTCATTTTAACCATTATAGCAGAATGCAATTATGTATCTATAATAGGATGAGGTACATTTGTATAAACTGTTATTGTACATACAACAATGATTTTATGTTTATTTTTTTTATTCATTTATTGGGAAATAAGGTCGCCCAGTATCGCGTAACTTTCACGTAATAATTATAAAGTTAATTTATACTGAAGATGAGTCTAACATATGTATCTAATAAAATAAACCTTATATATTTACAAAATACTTAAAAAATTACCTATAAAAAAATTCTTCTACGTATAATATTATAAATAGTGGTTATCTCTTACTATCTTAAAAGTAAAGGTACTCTAAATTATATAAATTCAACTATATAAAATTGACCAATTATGAGGCTAGGTTTGTAATATTTTTCAAGCAATAATAATGAATTTTACTTTCAAACGATCTGAACTAATATGGTACAGATTTTAAAATCAACCTATACTAATACTGATCTGGTATTATATGAGTGCTACCAAGAGGAAAGGACACATCAGTTGTTAAGTATATGAGCTAGGCACTGAAAAAAAAGATGAAATTGACAAAAAAATCTTTAGAAAATCAATTTTTGTTATAAATCTTTTAATAAGTCATAAGAAAATACAAACTTTATTGCAAAATTTTATTAATACAACTATTGTATCTTAGTGAAAATGTTCCTAATCTTATTTTAAATTGATTTATATAAAAAAGTTCTTTTGAAGACAATTTCGTTTCTTTTTCCAGAACTAGCCCATATTATTGATTATTAGTCTGATTCAGCTCTTCTTGTTCTGATCCGAAGAACATCGGGATTTCAATTATTGTTATATGCATGCACACAATATCGATATAACCAAAGCCTGATATAGAAAGACTGAATCAGACTAATAATCATCAATAATATATTTAAAAAAACTGATGTATCCTTTTCCCTTAACAGCACTTATATAGTATAGTTTTTAAAATCGGCTTGTACTATATTATCTGCTTACCATACTGATTTGCTATAATTAGGATTGAAAAAATATGGAATTTCACGTAAGTAGTAATATGGATTTTAAATGAACTTTAAAAAAATGATTGACCTAATCGCATTTTTTGATTATTTCATTCTAAAACGTATTTTATTATAAAATACGCGTTCAGGTGTTCCAACAATGAAGTAATTTTCAAATTAACTAATTAATCGTTCATGGATGATTTTAATATTATATAACACACTTTCTCATCTTCAACGATCAAAAAATAGTCAAATAACTTTGATTCTTTTAGGTTTTAAATCCTTCGTGCAAGATATAAAGTGAATAGTTAGTCGTAAATCACATTAATTACTCAATATTATTGGAAAACTTACCATTTCAAATTGCATATTCATTAGCTTAACAAACTTTTCTATTTTAGTATCCTCATCTTTTTTTACATCTATACTTTTCCATATATTTAATAACAATTCATTCTTAGATATTGCCATTTGTACAATGCGGTTTAACTGCTCTTTGTCCGAAGATTCCAATTTACCAATTATATCCAAGGCAAAATCCGTCAATTCTTCAAGCTGACATTTATCTTCAAGTTCCAAATCTCTTAACTTTCTTTTTTTCATCTGATGATCAACTTCATTATCCTCATGTGTCCCATTCGCTGTTGAGATCAATCTCTCCATAATTTCAAAATCCAATTTTTGTTTTATTTCTACCAATTGTTCATATTCATCTTGACCTCCTATTAATAACACAAAGAAAAATTAAATCATTTTTAATTATAATTGTAAAAACAGACATCAATATTCTTTCAAAACTCACCCAAACATATAACCACTTCCAATGCTAGTGTTGATAACCTCTGTAGCTTTTCATCGTTCCATCTTCCGCTTGATTGGGTAATTGCATGTGCATTGTAATTCCTCGCTTCAACTTTAAAGGATATTAATAAATCAGACGGATTTAATTTATATTGACCACAAAATAGTGTTTGATCAGATTGACGAGTTGTGAACAAGGAAATGTTTTGTAATATGAAATTTAAAAGACATAATAAATCAGCACCGGAAAAATCGATCTGTCGCGAAGGATTACATTTCATAACAAAGTCTTTTACGGTTTTGGAAGGGATGTATTTTTCATATCTTATAATAAAATTAAAAAGAGCTCTTTCAACATGTTGAAGTATTGGTTCAACGTATGAACCTTGCTCCGATGCTGAGAATGAGAATCTTTGTAGGATTGGCGGAGATGATGATCGATGAACTTGACTTTTCGTCTCTTGTACCTTTTCTATTTCTTGTTCGTTTGTAACTTTTTCTTGTAACTCTTTTCCAAATTCGTGTTCCTTTAAACTATCAATTGATGCACTTCCTTTCCAAACATTTACAGAGGTGGAGCCCGTACCGTAAGAGACATTGACAACACTTGAGAAAAATCTCGCTTTTTTAAAAACAGCATGGTCATTTTCGTCAATGACCTTTAACATTCTTTTGTTTTCCTTCTCTTTCACATTAAGCCATATGTTTAACTGTGTGCATTCTTCTCGTAACTTTTCGTCATTTTTCAATAGAGCTTGCATCGATAATCGCAACGCCTTTTCTTGCTTACTTATGGCAGACTTTCTATTTATGGGAGGGTCCAACTGAAGTAAACTTTCGATTGTTGCTTTTAAGGTGTCTTTAATGTTGGCTTTGAGGTTTTTCTTGAGCCACTTTGAAAGTTTAGCCATTATGAACTGGCGAATGGGTAAAATTAAAAAAATATTACTTTGGGGTCTTTGCTACATAGAATTTTTTATTTAAATTTATTATGGTTTTATAAAATCTTGTGTAACAATCGCTGATCTAGCCAATCAGCATTACTCACGGGCAGGGACCCAGAAATTTTTGCCGTAGGTATTTTTATTGGCCAGACTCGCGATTGTTTTTCTGACACCGGCAGAAAGATAGTTTGATAATAATACAAGTTTTCCCCTGATCGAAGTCGAAGGAAATGCTTTTAGTATTTCTGCTAGATCTGTCGAGAAGCCGAGAAACGCTTGTGTTTCGGTAGGTGGAACCCGAGAAACCGAGAAACACTTATTGTGTTTCGGTAGGTGGTGAGAATCCAAAAAACATTTATGTTTCGGTTGGTGCACGGGGCCGGTGCCAAGAAGCCGAAAAAACATGTGCAATACATGTTTCGTAGGTGGTGAGAATCCGAAAAGATATATTTCATAGGTTGACGATGCCTAAGAAGTATGTTTTGTAGGTGTATGGCTACGGGGACTTGATTATCAAACGAACTCTTTTTTGACCATTGTTGTGGGCAAAGTTTGTATATTTACTCTTCGTCTGTAAGGGTCAGTATGTGTGAAAATTTATAGTTAGGTGATTGGAGCCTACTTTATAGACCATAGGTGCTTTATTAATTTCTATTGCGCTTTTTAATTACAAACCGAAGATGCAAATCATAAACAAGCAATCAATTTGGTGAACTTTTATAACTGTCTCCGCAATTACACTGGTCATCACAAAAATTCTGAATTGGATTCCTGGACTGAGAATATTTGACGTAAAATAAGATAAGTTTTGCCATTGGTTTAATTCTATCTGCATTATCCAAGAAAAAAAATGTCTCCCGAAACTTTATTTTTACAGAATAATGGAGTACAAAAAAATCTGGCGCTACAGTTATTACTACCTTAACAGCTCGTCGAATAGTATAGATTTTCGTCTCTCCCGCGTTAATGTTATACCATGAATGGAACCGGATAATTTTTTCGAAAGCCATGCATGCATCTATTGGAAAGAGGAAGGTATACATTGCATTTTGAAGTTGTGGTGCGTTCCATTATAAATATTTCTTTGACTGCTTTACATTTCTTGTTTCTAACTACCTTTCCTCAAATTTCAGGTTTTGCAATAGTTAGAATACAGTATATGGGCGTAGTGCTACAGAAAAGAGGAAAAATGACAATTTTTCAAAAAAATTTTTTTGAGCTTAATTGATTTGAAATCAAATTATGAATAAATTTTATTTAATAAGATTTTGTAATAAATTAAAAATAAGATAAAAAATAGTTTTGATTGGACAAATGCTTGTGTAACATTTCGATGTAGATCGAATACGATTTTCGGAATTGTCGATCAGCCAATCAAATTGTAAATTTAATAAAATTTAAATATAATACAAGTTTTAACTAGTTTAAGTATTTTATTTATATATTTTTGCTCTGAAATTAAATTTATAAATAAAGAAAAAAAGCAAATAGGTATATTAGTTTATTTATAATACTTTTTTTTTTAACCTTAAGCAGTTACACTAGTATTTTATTAAGATTTTTGAAACTATATACTTATACAATTATATAAAATTTCCCAATGTTTAAGTCTAGCATTACTTGGTCACTTTAACAGTACCTAAGTGCAACCTGTTATACTATCTTAGTTAGAAATAGACTGTTTGTCTAATTACTTAAAGCCATACCAGAAGGGTCTTCTTTCTTTTGTGATAAGTATATTTATTGTCTTTAAAACTTCTTTCTTTATTTGGTTTGCTTTTTTTGTCTTCTTTTCTTTTTTTTTTTTTTTTGCTTGTTTATCTTTTTTTACCTTTTTTTTTGTTTTTTCTCTTGTATAAGTTTTTTTTTATTTTATTTGTTATATTGATCTTCTTCTCTTAAGCTTATATTTTTCACATTATACCTTCTGTATTTGGTTATAAAAAATGTTCTATACTGTTTTTATTACTATATCTATGCATTTCTGTGTTGCTTACTTGTTTAAGAGTTAATCAAGTTTTTTTTCTACTTTTAGTATTGTGAGTCCTTTTATTAACACTTTCCTGTTTGTGATTTCTTTAACTTCTGTTTCTTCAAATAATGTTTTATATAGAACTTGTAATAGAATTTTATTTTTTTTCTCTTCTTTGAATCCATTTCATGC